TAATTGCATCAATATCATCATTACTTCGTATGAGTACTAATTCCTGTTTCATATTCAATATAATTTTGCGGTAGTCTTCAAAAAAGCCCATCCACATGCTTAGAGGAATGCATACGTTGAATTTACCGGTTGATAAAAAGTGCGATTCTTTGGGATACCAACCAGCATTTTGTAATTTAGTACTTTCATTTTGATTGTAAGAAAGATAACCTTTCAATGTTGAAGTGAGTCCGACGTTTCGAACAGAATCAACAACAACACCATTCAACTCATATCGAATTTCTCGGAACAAAAAGCTAAATGCGTTATTGACAAATTTAAAGTTTTCAGATGGAGAACCATCAGCTTTAGTGAGTGTTCCTTCAAGGTAAAGATAGCTTTGGGACGGTAAAGTGAAGGTATCCAGTTCTTGAATAGCAATTCTAATTTCATCATTATAATCAAAATTAGCATTAATGTACGGTTGATAGGTGTGATACTCCATTTCAGTAATGGAGGTGTCAAGTAATGGCTGTTCTGTCACGTTCAAAATGCTCATGTTAGATCAATTGAAATTCCAACGACTTTAAAAACTGACGATTATCAATCGTTAGACGACGTCTATAATTTGGACGAGGTGACGGTACGTTGGTTGGTGGAGTACTAGCAAAAAAACTCTGCGAATCTTGTTTTTATAGGTTCGATTGGAAAGCACCGAATGTGGAATATTGTATCTAATACCCATTACGTATTTTGCGCAAGTGTAAACGTATGATAATGGTTTCGTTTCTAAAGTTTACAAGATCGTTGTTTTGATCAAATACAATCTCTCATAAAAACCCCCCTAAATTTTGGAATTATCAGTTGTTTAGCCAATTGAAGTAACTCTATATTAGTAAGAGCATGACGAGGGAGTTTTTTTAGCAGTTTTTTTTATAAGGTGCCAAATATAACCCTTTTCCTTGTTTAGATTGTTCTAACGCTAAATTGTGACGTTTTTGTTCAGCCAACTGAGCCTAATTGGTTTTCGCATCCGAGACTGCTTTGGCAATTGACGCCGCTCCACCTCCAAGTGCACCTAGCGCACCAAGTAGGGGAAGGAGGATAGGTAAAAATCCCCCTTTTTTAGGTATCGGTAAAAGTCTCGAGTTTTGTGTGATGCGTCGTTTTTTACAGAGATCTTGTCCGCTTATTAGTTTTTTTCGCAATCCTAAAATGCTTTGTGACTTGCGAATACGAGAAGAAAACTTTTTTCGACTCATGCCACTACCCAATTTCTGCTTCATCTTCATGACCGCTGAGACACCCAGTGCAGCTACTTTTTCACCAAGCGATGAATCCGATGCAGCAACCCGCTTGAGGGCGTGATCAATTAAGAGGTTATCGGCTTTACGACGAATTTCACTTTGTTTGGAGGTAGCGTAAACCAGATCGTGCTGCTTACAGGCCTCGTCTAAGCGATTAATTCCGGTATCACCTCTCTCAATGCGTTGCTTTAAATTTGTTCCAGGTCCACAGAAATTATATCTCGGGATATGCAATTCAAGTGGTTCAAGTCGGTTTGTGACTGTTTCTCCTCGCACGGAATGCAGTCATTTTATATGCTTCTAGCAAGTAACGGTTCTCAGATATATAGTAGACTGTGCTAGAAGTATTGATATCAGTACAATTTATAGGCTATCAGAATGAAGATCGAACCATCAGTCGTACAAGTTCGTGTAACGAATTTTGATGGACTTGCACAGGAAGGTGCGCTTAGAAAACATGGTAACCTATTCAATGGTACGTCTAAACGCGCGTTAGTTGTAGTTCCAAGCGGATCTGGTAAAACTAATGTAATGATCAGTTTGTTAACACATCCTAATGGATTGAGATTTGAGAACGTTTATCTGTACTGCAAGTCGCTGTACCAACCCAAGTACAAATATTTACAAGAACTACTAACACCGCTTCGCGAAATATGGTATTATGAATACAGTGAAGATGCAAACATTGCGACACCAGAAAACATTAAACCAAACTCCGTAATAATTTTTGACGACGTTTCATCATGTAATCAGGATATAATAAGACAATATTTCAGTTTTGGACGACATCGTAATACAGACTGTTTCTATCTTTGTCAAACGTATACTGCCGCACCCAAACATAATTTAAGGGATAACATAAACCTACTCATACTATTTCCTCAAGACAATTTGAATCTGAAACATATCTATGATGATCATATCAGCCTAGACATGTCATTCAACGAATTTAAAAGCTTGTACAGTTTGTGTTGGCAAGAGCCACATAGCTTTGTAGTGGTTGATAAAGATTCTCCAAGACAGGGAGGCAGGTATAGAAAGTGTTTTAGCAGCAACATAAATTTGTAACAGTAATATATATATATATATATATATATATATAACTATACTCTGTGCAAATCTTAGGGTAGTACTTATATAACATCGAAGGTAGACAGATGGATCCAAAACTGGCCAAAGAACTAGTCAAAACCAGGAAAGCGGTTAAACAAAAGTATCTCACACTTAAATCAGATATTGCAGCAACGGAAAGGGAATTACAGCAACAGTTTAAGCCGATCTCAGAACCGCTGCAAAAACTCTTATCAAAAGTTGAAGCACCTAAACAAGAATTGCAGATCAAAGAAGAACAATCTACACCCCCATCAGTGACATCCACACCGAAGAAACGACAATCATTCAATAAACAATTATCAGAAAATGTATACCAACGATATTTACCACCTGTCAACTACAGCTTTCTCGAGGATACATATTCAAACCTTCCGGAGCCAAATCGCAGTCAAGATGTATCTACCGTTGAAGAATTTACTCCAAATGCTACGGTGTTGGAGGCAGAAAACCAGCAAATCAATGAAAGCGTGGCTCGAGTGGCGCAAGAATTCCACCAACTAATTGATACACCTGCATATTAAGAGTATCTTGAAGGTTTTCACCCAGTACCTCGAAAATATGTTGATAAGTCAATTCGTGGGAACGAGCCCGAGTTTGATCGTTATTATGGATTAACATATGATATTGTTTCTGACAAGTTTCAACTCGGTAAAAGTCCGGTTACGCTAGACGGAGCAAATATCGTGGTGGAAAATGTAACATATCCTGGCACACCTGGATTATATGAACTGCTTTTCAAAAAAGAACCAATTGGTTATAAGCAGAGTGATCTAGATCAGTATATGGATATTCTAAGTCGCACAAATGCATATCGCAGAAATTTTGAACCTAATACTCAAATACAGGGTAGTACGTCCTACAAATATCTAAATATAATTCGACCATACTTACATCAGCAGCAGGGCATACTCAGATCCGGCTCCTTTGAGAAACCTCCACCTCCTAAGAGTCAGTTACGATGAACACACTCATTCAAACATACAGGTCAAGGAATGCTCCACTTATCAAATAAACCAATCGACTACATCTATTTTGATGATCCAAATGAATTGGTTGCTCGTTTACGTCTGTTGTTAGCTTCACAGTATGCTGGTAATAATGGACATCGTAACGAGATTATGTCTATAATTGAGGAGTTACGTGAATAAAAAATTATAAAATGAGTTTGTAACGTAAAATTACTTTATTTACATTGCTGCAGTTGTAGGATCAAGATGCCGATTGATAAATTTGGAAGACATATGCTCCGCTCAAAGAAGACGGACACTGCTGCAATCTTCAGTACTTTTCTAAGATCCAACCTATCCAGCGTATGTGTGGTACCCATTTATTCCTCCACATCCAGCGAGCAGTTTTACACATTTAACGACAATAGCAAGGACTATATCGTTCCAGTGACTGGGATAGTTGATAGTATAAAAGTTCCGCCAAAAGTAAGAGTGACAATTGGTTTACCGACAACACACCTCTCACGAAAGGTGATATTCTCCATTTCTTCACATCTAAAGAACCCAGACCAGAGCAGCTTATAGCAAATATTGTAATGCGCTGTCCATTGATACAACAATGATCGACTTTAGAAAGCAGGTTGTTGAAGATCTTCATAAGCCAGCTCCCCGAAATTATAGACGTCGGCGCGTTATTGTGAAGGGGGTTAACGATCTCTTGCAGGCAGATTTGGTAGAAATGCTTCCGTATCAGAAAGTGAACAAAGGATTCCGATATATTTTAATTGTCATCAACGTTTTTAGTAAATTTGTGTGGGCAGAACCAGTCAAACGAAAAACCGGAAAAGATGTTACAACTGCAATGAGGGCGATTCTGTCGCACATGCAGTCAATTCCAAAAAATTTACAAACAGACTTGGGTAAAAAATTCTACAATAGTGATTTAAGTTGTTGGAAGAGTACAAAATTAATCATTACAGCACGTACTCATCGACCAAAGCAAGTGTGGTTGAAAGGGTGAATCGGACTTTAAAGAATCGCATGTGGAAGCAGTTCAGCCTTCAGGGATCATACAAATGGCTAGATATCCTATCGTCAGTCGTTGACGGGTATAATAACACCAAACATAGTACAATTGGAATCAAACCCAAAGACGTAAACAAACGTACAGAAAAAAGATTATTGAATACGGTTTATACACATTTGAAAACGGTAGATCCAAAGGGTGTAAAATATCAAACTGGGGATCATGTCCGCATAAGCAAACATAGAACAGCATTTGCTAAAGGATACACTCCTAATTGGTCCAATGAAATTTTTACAATTCGTAAAGTACAGTATACCAATCCTACATCATACTTATTGGCAGATTGGCGTGGTGACGAGATACTAGGTGGATTTTATGCTGAAGAGCTTCAAAAAGTCAAGTATCCAAACATCGATCTTGTGGAGAAAGTGGTTCGACGTAAAGGCAGTAAAGTGCTAGTCAAGTACTTAGGACTGGATAGCAGCTATAATTCGTGGATTAACAAAAGTGATTTACTTGTATGATAAATGTACCTCTATTTTGTCTAATGATTTCTATAGCACACTTTTTTTTCAATAAAACACTCTACGTAATATAAGATTTTTATTACAAATATACTGAGAATAGTTAGGATAAGTAATTTGAATAAAAGTTCAGTGTTGGAGCCTTGTTGAATTCTTTCAAGTTTGGATATTGGTATGCCAGCTCCATAGCAGTCCTGATGTTCTCCGAATGCGGCAAATCAGAGATGTGTTGCATAATGAAGTCTCGCACATCGATGTGCTTGGTTTGTACATCCTGGAACTCCTGAGTTTTCAACATATTCATCGTATAGGCAATCAGCGGGGCTAATTGAAATAACTTCAATACGGTCTCTTTACCCAAATAAACTACATTACTCCACCGATCTGCAATTTTGATGGTTTGATAATCTGGAAATCTATCAAAGCTGATACAGAAGGAGTTACCTTGGATCGGATGGAAAATATCATCATTGAAGAAAAAATTGGTTATAATGCCTTCTTGACTCGATACTTCATACCAGTCTTCTTCATTTAACGTAACGCCCTCGGTTTTTAAACCCTTGATATTGAGTACAGGTTGGAAGCTCCACTGATATGCTCGCCCAATAGTAATCCATTTTGATTTAGATGGATTTAGATGATAGCGTTGCTCCTGGATGACAATTAACGGTGGCTGAGCTACACCACTTTGTACAGATCATACCCCTTTGTCGTTCTGCACATTTGCAACGTGTTTGACACCACCGGCACTACTCATGTTGTAACACTATGTGAAATGTAGAAGACTGGTATGTGATGCTGAGTAGCTACTTTTATACAGTGTCGATACTCCCTCCACTCACAAACACTCCCCTCTCAAAAATTGGCGCAGGTGCAATGGAAAATGATACTACCATTCATGGAGATACATTTATTTATGATATATTTCTGTCATACAACACAGCAAGAATTATTGCGTTTTGGATAAACCGCATAAGACACTCAAACATGCAACATAATCTTCAAATTTGGTGGATGGCCATTTCACACCACATGGTCCAGAACTCCATCCTAGTGACTTATCTCCAATGTTACCTTTAGCTACGTTTTTCTTTAACCATTTAAATACAGTATAATGTCTTATCTTATTTTCTATATCAAATACAAATTTAATATCATGCTGCTGTATCACATCGATTAGACTCTTCAGTGATGCACAATCAGCCAGATATGCAATTTTACATATGGTTTCATCGATATGGGATACAGTGTTTTTATATCTCTTAGTAATATTTTCTACAGGATGTGGTTTATCTACATCTTCATAGTTACTGTCAGATAACAACTTACAGAAATAGTATTGTTCATATGCTGATGGTGTGGAGTGCATGTTCGTCAGCAGGTCTCCAAATTCTTTGATGCTTAAAACCTCACAACCTGTATCCTTTAGACTTTGCAGCGTTTCCTGTACCACCCAGTCAAGATATTTCTTTCTTGTTATTACACTGGAAAGCACATCGGGGTAGTAACTATCTGCATTTGCAATCCAGTTGAATACTTCGTCGGTACTATAATTTCCACCAGTACAAAACTCAGCACTGGAAATTCTCGTTTTTCTGGATTTTGAGACACAAACTGTCGGAGATGTTTTTTCAACACCTCTTCAGTTACATGACATAATTGCATGAACAGTGAATAGTATGTCTTGGTACTAATCTTTAAAACTGAAGAAGGTGAGTGGGTGAAGCATATATTTATATTCTTGTCCCCACCACAAAGCTCAAATTTCTGATCATTTCATCTGATCACTAGTCAACTCACTGGCTTCGTTCATTAAGCGCAGCAAGAGTTCCAACCGCTCTCCGTCCGACATTTTATGAAAGGTGATATCTTGATGACCCCAAGCTAATGTCTTTGTTGAGTTTGGTATCAAGAAACGTTTATCATCCATACTGGTCAATGTCACTTTTCTTATATAATTTGTGTATATATTGTGCGACTCCGATTTAAATACATAAATCGTACAGTACACATATGTCCGTTTCTCCTCAACAATATCTTTATAATGTAACAAATGTAATTGATGTTTCACACTCGCCTTAGATGTACCTTTAGCTCGTTTAGCCACTTGATCTACAGCATCGATACAGTATGCTGTGGGACCTGTACCATAAAAGGCAGACAGTACCTTGCCACCATATTCGTCTTTCATCTTACCCAACTCTGACGCTGTTCGAGGCATGTTATGTGGGTTGTCAGCATCATAATTGGATGTGTCAAAGTAATGCACGTGTGATTTCATGTCTTCATAGAAATTATCGGTTTCAACATGTACTATTAACGAATCAGTGTCCGTGTATGCTAAAGACACCTTATTACTATATTGGTGCTTCAGAAAGTTATAGAAAAAGTCATATATTACCGCTTTTGAGACATCTAAAATACAAAATCCAACATATGTGGGACGGCAATAATCAATCATTGTTTTTTCCATTTGAATAGCTACTAAGTTTTCAGAAAATATACTGTGTTCTTTAAAAGTTGGTTTACTAATATAATTTTCAGCACCTATTTTGTGTTTCGATTTTTCAAATTGAGTCGCTAATTTGATATTGACTCTGTTCTCTATGTTTTCAATCGTTTTGCCAAATATACAATTGATCATTGGTTTGGACAAATCTCTTTCAAACGGATTCAGTGCTGCATTTCTAAGTACCGTGTTTAACAGTATATAGGACTTTAACCACGCTGCTTGTGTGAATTTGATACCTCTATGAATTTTCGTTAAGATAATACCATGTTTCAAACATTGTTTTAGATTACGATAATGGATAATGTAGCGCTCTTTGTTGTGTAAATTTGGAATTAATTTTGAGCTTTGACTGTTGGGTGGTTTAAAATTTTCTGGACAAAATGGTAAATCATTGAAATAATCATGAAGCTCATTCGGTATTGTTAAATCAACTTCTAATGCATATCCAATATCCGATGTATCTGAAATTTGTGTAATGGTTTCTTGAATCCTATCCATCTCATGTTGCGTCAACCAAGCAAAATGACCCGTCGGTGGGTACAGCTGCATAGTATATCCATATAAGTTCGGCACATCAAGGTACATTAAGTACGATGATGCCTTTGATGGATCGTAATGAGGTAAACATTTATTGTTCGCCTCGACTTTCCGTGAGGTACATGTGCTGACTCCTCCACGAATCCCCTTTTTAAAAAAATGTACCATATCCACATCTGTAAGCAGCTCTAACTCTACTTTAGTATATGGTAGCATTGCATCCCAACTCAACCCAGGAGCTGTAAAATAGTGAGCTGGATCCAGCTTGTACGTTTTTAAACACAAATCTCTAAAATTTTCAAAGATATCTGTTAAAAGAAGAACATCCGAAGTCAAGTGAAAGTCCGAGTATTCCCCCAAATTTTTACACCCCATTACTTCCCAAACATGATGTGCCCGCTCATAATCCTCGTCTGCAATGTGTTCATCACGTATTTCGTCATAAAAGTCTTGCTGGGATGGTAAACATGTTTTATTGTATTTATCAAATGTTTTAAGATATGTATAGGGAAATATACCTTTACATCTCATGTAGGAGAATCTTTCGTCCTCGGGAAACACTTTTCGTACTGTCCGACATTGCTCTGCACTTAAAAAGGATGCCAATGTTTCTAATTTTGACGACAGAAACTGATATGAATCGACAAATCTCATTTGCAAAAATACGGTTTTTTGTTTTCCCTCTTGGGAAATGTACGTGTCTACCGGTACTAATTTTGTAAATGACACATATCTTTCAAAAGATTGTGGAATCACTTTAATTTGTTCTTGATTCATAGCTAAGTGTTTTATGAATAGATGAGCATCATAGTTCTTCAGATTGTGGAAAAATATTGGAATATAGTTCGGAGTCTTATAATTGAGATTGCATTTACTATGCGCCGCACCACGATATTTCCCTGTGAAATGACAGCGATCCCTAACTTTTATATTTGTATTGGTGAATGGTTGTTCACAAATGAAACATGACTCTGCTTTATTAAACGAAGCTTTATCGTACGTAGTCATTTTCATTTCTACATTTTGTGTTAAATATTGATAATATATTAATTTAAGATCAGCCTCTAATCGAGCAACAAAAATTTTTGCTGCATCCTCACCCCTATATAGTGGCCAATTTGGATAGTGAATCATTAAATGAGCATTTGATGTAATAAGCAAATGAGGATGGTTTATGTTCATACTTTCTGATGGTACTTACATCCTCTGAATCGCTTGAGTCATTTTCTATCGGAGCTAGAATGCATTCAAAGTCGGTATAAACGCAAAATGGTAGCCTTAATTGTTTGTGATGCTGTTCACATTTTAGTATATTATCCATTACCGTGTTTCCAAGTCGATTAACTCTCGTTTCCAATTTTGGAACCTTAACTGAAATATATTTGCAATAGGTTCGCATGTGAATTTCTAATTTTTCTTTTGAGGCAAAGTATTGTAAAAACCCATCACAAAAGTGCTTTACTCTCGTATTCCGCGACAACTGACTTGAAACAAGTCTTGAAAAGTTGGTAATTAAGCAGTAATGATGGTTTCCTTCTGAATCATCAATAAGTAATAAGTTTAGATGAGTATGTTGTTTTTGCGCGGTGTAGTGTAACGGTCCCAGCACCTGATATTTAGGCTTCCCATCAATGAATTCCTTTTCTAATCCATAAAACGTTGCTTGATATGTTATTCACGCTTTCACATTCTGATATTGACTTGAGAGCGACTGGAAATGTCATTCCAGCAAAGTTTAAGCCCGGAACATTCGAAAAATGTAGATATGACGTTGTTAGTGATGATCGACCTTTTGGTTTTACCATACCAGCTACAATTGACCATGCAAAGCAGTACTCATCGTTATTACGTATATTGAGTACTGCTTTTTTGTTCCTAATTTCCTTTGGAAGCGGCAAATATGATGCTGCTCTCAAAGGATTATATTTATTAATATTAATTTCTAAATATAAAGTCTTTTCTAACACCACCCTGAGTCTTTTTCTGCAAAATCTTCAGATTTGCTCTATTTTACTTTCCAAATCATGATAGATTGCTTTTAAATTTGATGATTGTGTTATGATTACATTGTTTGTATTGTGGGACTTCACCTCTCGTCGGCTTTTAGCTGGTAAGATATATAAACCAAAAAGTTCCATATTTATTTGAGCGTTGTTTGCTTATGCAATTCATTTTCAATCACGTTTATGGAGTCATGTTCAAGATTATTCATATATTCAGTAACGTTCAACGTGTCTATACTGGCGGTTATTTGATAACTGACTATTCTACCCCGAAATGCACTTCGACATACTGACACATTATTGTGTAAAGGTGTCCATAGATGTGCCTTATGTTTGATGCTTTTCAGATGTGCTGCATGTGCATTCCTCGGTACCTCACAGTTGCAACTATCACAGCGAATTGTTCTGCTTTCCGCACTCGTCTGTGAGTCGTTACTGGTGGTTGGACTCATTCGACTCGGTCCCGGTATTGCAACGTTGGCTGTTGAAGGATCCAGTCGTCTGGTATTGAGTCCTGTGGTGGTCTGGGTGATGCTAGCTGTAATAATAAGTTCATAAATATAAGTTATTTAATTTGGCTTAGTTGTTTGTAACTTTACCTTCTACACGTTGTTGTTCGGGTGGACTCTTCTCGCTTGTGCAGACCTCTCTACCATGTCGCAGTAAACCTTTTCGTGCCGAGAATTTTTGCCGGCATCGAGGACATTCCCACTTGTCTGCAGTGCTGCGTGGAGCGGTTGCATTACATGGACGCTTGGATGCGGGCTCCTCATCCTGGCTGCACCTCGCTCTACAGTGTCTCAACAAACTTTTCCTCACCGCGAAGGTCCTTTGGCATTTTGGACATTGGAACATTTTGTTGTGAGGCGTGCACGTATCTACTGTGTTTCTCACACATAAATCATTTATATATATAATATATATTTATGCACCTCGCGTTCTCTAGTGGCATCTGACACAAAAAAACATTAGCTGCTGTACATGATTTGACCTATTTGCAGGTTTCGTTTTTTTTGTCCCATTTCTACATATCAAGTTCGCCAACTCTTCGATCCACGTGTCGCGATTGAGTTGTTGATTCACAACACTACGTTCTGTCGCGTCCCGTTCAAGTTGCGTGAACGGCAACTCTTCGATGTAGGTGTCACGATTGAGTTGCTCATTCACCACACAACGTTCTGTCGCGTCCCGTTCAAGTTGCGTGAACGGCAAGTCTTCGATGTAGGTGTCGCAATATCACTCGCAATCGCGGCAGACACAGATGGCTCTTGCTGTTTGAGGTAGCTCCCGACATGGATGGCCTTGGCTGAGCTTCCAACAAATTGATCTCAAACGATGGCCAAGCATTCATCGTTGTAGACATATCAATGTCCGGATTGATGGATGCTAACACTGCCTCAATATCGATCTCATTTGAGGAGTTCTGTTGACTTTGGGCGATGTAATTGTTAAGCATGGTTGCGAGCCCATGCTAACAATTTCGATGGATAACTCATCATTCCCCGAAGTACTAGCCATCGTTTGCGGGTGCCCGTTCAGCGAAGAGTCAACGGTTTCGCGTGGTGGCACAACTTGAACACACACACAATATATCACAATCCATCCCCAACCATCATGTCAAATAAAAACTGTAATATCAGGTTTTTTTCTTTGTATACTGGAAGTCCTTAGCTTAAGAGATCACCATAAAGGATTTCATGCTCATAATCCATATTCATCCTTCTGACATCACCTATACCTTTCCTTGCGTACATACTTCCTTTCAATATTTCTACCTTTTATTCATATTTTTTATTTTAGGAGTAATTTCCTTCCGTATCTTTGTCCCTGATGATTTTATGCTTTTGTTTTCCTATTGCTAACGTCTTCCTATTACCCAGATCTTCTATTTCTATATTCCGTTTAGCGACATGCATTATTTTATTTTAGGGGTATTCACCCTATTTATTTGTCCTGTGAGTATTACATCATTTGTTATTAGAGGTAAAGTTATCGGTTTGCGGATGATACAGCTATTCTCTATGAAAGCAACCAGTGGCATACACTAAAAACCACAATCGAACATGATTTCAAAACATTTATAAATTTCTTTTCGGAAAGAACTTGACAATTAATTACAACAAAACACACTATATAGCATTTTCGTTGTAACGACAGGCTCTCACCGCGATTTAAAAAACTTGAAATTCATACAAGCAGTGGTCTCAAAGAGATTCAGGTCAGCCGATAAAATAAAATACTTAGGCGTGATTTTGGACAAACACTTAAAATGGGATACCCATACAGAGACCTTGTGAAGAGACTGAGATGTATTATTCCAAAATCAGGTACTTCAGAGATATTCTAGATAAGAAATATCTATATAATCTATATTATGCTCTTGTTTATCCTCTATTACTTTTACACCACCCACATAGTTCCATAGAGCGGTTCCATCTACCACGAAGTGAGGGTGGCAGAGGAATACCTTGCATACCTACACTACATTACCGCCAAGTGGACAATCTAGGCCAGTACTTCCTCAAAAAGCCACATCGAGCAGAATGCATCAAGCAATAACACAGACGGATAAAAAGTTGTCACCACTAAACCTTTCAGAACCATCTTTCAACCCTGAGGCAAAGATAATCCCAATGCAGGATCTGGTTCGCCCAATGGACAGCCAAAACCAATAAATGGTCGGTATATAGGAGCCGCATAGAATACAACGCCATTGACACGAAGGCTTCCCAAGGATGGTTGCAGTCAGGTAATCTGTTCCTGGAGACGGAGGGCTTCATAGCCTCCATCCAGGATCAGGTAGTCCCAACAAAGTTATACCGAAAGCGTATAATGCATGAGAACGTTGAAGATCAGATGCCGAATATGTGGGAAAAAAGATGGAGCACATAGATCATATTGTAGCAGTCTGCTCTCTCCTTAGCTCCGTAAACAATATCTTGAAAGACGCAATGATGTGGCTAAAATACTTATCAAGCTTGGCTAAAAAAGCATCTAGGAGAACTGGTACACAGCCCTACTATAAATACACGCCGCCACCTGTGATAGAAACGGAGACCTCTAGGCTGTACTGGAACCGTAAAATCATAACTGACAGGCCCATCCCCAACAATATTCCTGACATAGTGCTCACACTAAAAGAAGAAAGAACGACGTTTAAATAGACAGAGCGTGCCTCTTCCTAGTAATATCCAAACCACCCAGGCGGGGAAAAGACAAAAAGTAGGACCACTCTCCGACGAAAAAAACGCAGGGGGGAAAGGGCAATGGGTCGAATACCAGAGCAGAGGAGACGGGAGAGAGACCAAGGAAACGACACAAGAGCGGAAAAGCGACAGCGCCAGCCAAAATAAGACGGGCAGGGCAAAAAGCTGCACGGCGGGAACAGGGAGTGGACAGTACGGGGGGGGAGAGAGGAGACCGGAGACGGGGAAAAAACCGCGGCAGATCGATGGCTTACGGGGGCGGGGAGCCTGAGGGAAAGAGAAGACCGGCGACAGAGGAGGAAAATAGGAGAAAGAAGGCGAAGAAATAACGAGAAGGAGAAAAGAAAAGAAGACGAGAAGAGAAGAAGAGGATGCAGGGAAGAGAAGACGAAGAAGAATAGAGGAAGAAGAAGAAGAGAATAAGAAGAAGAAGAAGAATAAGCAGGAAGAGATAGAAGAAGAATGAGGAGGATAGAAGAAGACGAAAAATGAGGAGAGGATGAGGAGATAAAAGATGAGTAGAAGAAGAAGAAGAATAAGAAGAATAAGAATAATAAGAATAAGAAAAATAATAAAAATAATAACTAATCATAATAATAACAATAATAATAATAATAATAATAATATAATATAATAATATATAATAAAATAATAATAATAATTAATAATATAATATATAATATATAATAATAATAATAATATAATATAATAATAATAATAATAATAATATAATAATAATAATAATATAATAATAATATAATAATATAATAATAATAATATAATAATAAGGGTCTGGCCGGTAAGGGGACTGCCGCCAGCAGTTTCAAACCCGCTACCGTAACGACGTAGACGGTACAGCCAGCAGCGCAACGTCTGGCCTTAACCCAACAGTTAAGCTACTGATATTAACACCGAAGGATAGTCAGTACGGCCAGCACGCCTTCCATTTATCCAGGCGTGGTTTTTGTCTCTCTTCCGCGCCTGAGTTTCAACATTTTTAGGTAAACAATTACACCTACTTATAAAAAGAGAACAAAATTACCCAGAAATGGAGAAGGAACAAAATGAAGCCTCGGAATGTAACGACGTAATCGGGACTCGTCGCTATGCGACGAGGTCCGCGTCCGGCAGGGAGCGTAGGGGAAGGTCGCACCCGGTCGTCATCCAGCGAAATCCCCCCAACATCAACATATACAAATACTTCACTGAATGACCTAACACAACACCACCAAGCGGTCAATGCTGGTAATAATGTTGCTGTGGACGCATCGCCCCAGCCCATGTTACCAGCCCATAGTAGACGGCAGAGAACCACTTGGACGACAGAAATGAATGAGTACGTGGTTCGCTGCTACTATAGAATTACCAAATTGCAAACTTCACAGGAACCTTATGGTGCTGAATTGCATAAATTAGTGACAGAAAAATTTCCCCAGTTAAGACAAAAGACACTGCAGAACATCCTAGACCAGCGCAGATCTATATTTGTGAACAGCAGATTGCCAGCGGAGAGAATAGATACAATTAGGCATGAAGTAGCAACCGAATTGGG